AGGGGCTCATCTTCCGTTGGTGTTTTGGGCAGCTGTTCCTGTGGATTCGGAGCGAGTGGCCTTGTTGCCTTTGCTTCGGACGGCAATTCAACACGAGGCACTGGTTCCGGCTGACCCGGTGTAACTATGGTGCCCTCTTCTTGACGGGGTAAACCGTCCTTAGAGACATCTGCCACCACACCATCCTTAACAGTTTCGGTAAGTAAAGATTGGCCGTCCAAATCGTCAGACTCCAGGGAACCACCTTCACTTTCCTCAGTATCTTTATCCGTTGGATCCTCATTAGCACCAGGACTCTCAGATAGGACAGGAGGCTGAACACCAACCCCAACTCCATTTTTGCCGGAAGTTCCACTATCACCAGGAGGAACATAAACATCATCGGCCGCAACTCCACATAAGCCGCACCACAGCACGCAGAGGGCACACACCAGCAGCACACGGCCAGTCATCATCATCGCCATCACTCCTGTCACTTGCGTGCCGCCCTCAGCACAAACTAACTCCCCGTCAACGCAGCGAAAGGGAAAGGAAAGAGGAGGCACAGTCACACAGCCACGCACCGTCCCATCCAGCGATGAGAGTCACGCACCACAACAACAACAAGAAGGAGGGCGCAGTAAAACGACAACAACACAAACAACAATGAGCGCTCATCGCCCACGCCCCTTCCCCACACTCCCACTGTTACCGTCAGCGTTGCTCCCTCCGCATACACTCGTCGGCACGGAAAACCCCAGTGACACTAGGCACGGCACAGACAGAAACGAGCCACTGGGATTCACCAAAGGGCAAAAACAAAACAAAAAATGGTGAGGCTCCGGCAGAACTTAATTATGACCCACACAAACAAAAAATTAATGAAATATATTTTAAAAAGAACACACTGTTCCACGAGTCCACACAACATCCCTCACATTTCATGCGGCCTCCGGCCTGTCCCCTCCACTCCTCCTTTTGTGCAGTCGGTGGGACTGCACAGCAGTGAGGTCTGCACCGCGTGTGGGCAAAAAAATCAAAGAAGAGGGGAGGCACGTCACTCATGACGGCATGCAGCAACCGAACATTAAAGAGAAGAAAAGAGCAGGAGTGATGATTGTCCCAGTACAAAAACAGCAGCAGGCAATGATAATGTAACATCAAAAAATATATAGATATATATTATAGAAAACAAACCAAAAAAAGGACCGCGGGAAAAGCGGTAAATATTCTCCATGAGGAGCCGCACATCCACACCCTTTGGCTCATGAGCCTTCCACGACTCCACACAGTCCCAAAAGCAGAAGCAAAAACGCCCGAGACACACATCCATGGACGGTGCTTTCGCCAACTAAACCAATGGACATCAACTCGGTGATATTCTCCGAATC